GTTTTGGAAAGAAGAAGATCTCTTTAGTGTCAAAGGTCCCGGTTACTCTGCTACACTGGGGAAGGTGGAAGTGATTTTGTAAGGGATTCTCCACCTTGCTGTGGGGGATAAAGGAGAGACAATACTCGAAGGGTGCCATCGAGGAGTCAACGTAGGTCAAGGTTTAATGGAACTACTATAAATCGGGAGTATTCTTTTCTTTATGATTTCAGTATTTTATTTTATTTTGTGGTGAATTTTGGTTTGATTTGAGTTTGTATTTTGATTGAGAGATTTTTTAAAATACCAATTCAGCCCCGCCCCCCTCTTGGTTAGTCTTAGGCTAGTTCATAAGGGCTTAACATTCCTAACAAACTTTCACCTTGAACTAACCTCAGAAAAGTCTCCTGAATTTATTATCATGTAGAAGGGGGTATAAACCAAGCTCTAAATACATCAAAGAAGTCATCTTAAGTAATCAAAGAGTTTAATCTCCCTTAAATTTCTCTTCCTACTAGTCTATCCACCAACACTCTGCCTCGCCATCCAAGAGAAAGACTGCTAACGTTACCTTCCTCTCAAGAGAATATTGCATACCATCAAACATCTTTTTTAGCCTCCTGAACCAGGGCTCTACTGCTTTGGGCTCAATAGTACCCTCAAATCTTGGAGGGCTTCAATGTCACAAATATCAATAAATGTCTGTCTACCTCTTCAAATCAAATAATAGGAAACCTACTCTATGCCTCACCCATCATATGGACTATCAATGTAGCAAACTGTGAAACTTCATTTGAACCAACTGTTGGAGTAGAACTATAAACATGAGCTACCTACATGACTAGTACTCTGTCTATCAGTAATATTTGGGTATGGTTGATCTATAATGACACAAAATATATAACTGAACACATGCACTTAAAAACAAAAATAATGAATACTTAGATAGACTTGAAACTACCCCACTAAACTTATAGATCGATTCGTATAGCTCTGTTTTATGATCCAATTCCAAAACTCTTGATCTGATACCATAAAAATGTATCATAACCCAACCCGACCAGGATAGTCCCTATTATGCTATATTATGATATGCAAATCCCAATATCTAGTTTTGAAATTATTTTAGATTTTCTTCCAATATTCTTTAAAATAAATGATAGACTATAGAGTTACTAAAATATCTGAATACTAAAAAACTCATCCAAAAAAATTTCTTTCATTCATCAAAATAAATATATACACTACAGTACATGGCTTCATGTAAGAGCTACATAACTAAAAATTAAACTAGCCATGATTGTATAAAAATCAAAATAATAAAATACTTATGATCTTAGATCTGAACTTGAACTACTTATCCATGACCTCTTTTCCCTTCCTAGATCTTGAAAATCAGAAGTAAATTCACAGTGAGCTATAATAGCTCAGCAAGCCACATAAATCAATCTAAATTTTTAAATATTTTTTTTATAAAATATTTTGCTAAATATTTAAAAGTAGTTAATTATAGTTTAAATAAATAATTGAATTGAGAATCACAAAAGTAAAAAATATAATAAATGTATAGCAGTTATTCTCTGATTGAAATAACAGTATAGAACAAATGAATAAATTGAAATTAATATCATAGAGTAGTTTAGATTACATTTTTTGGACCTAGATAGAATATTGCCCCTTATGACACCTTTTTTATTTGTGTTTATAGCACTAGAATATATCAGATATCCCTGTCTCAGACAAAACCTCAATATATTCTAGCCCCTTATAACTCTTATAAATTCCCTAACATAGATAGAATCTCAAATGATTATGACCCCTTATGACTCCCAACATATATAATTTAATCACACACACACACACACACACACACACACACACACGTATATATATATATATATATCACATTATAATAATTAAAAGTAATTAAGCATGTATTAAAATGTCATAGTATTGTATAATGGTAGAAAATAGAAAATTCAACTAGGTAAAAATGATTATTTTTAGAAAATTAATAAATTGTCAAGAATTGTGTAAAATAATAATTTAAGACTTTTATTGTACTACAACATTATTTTTAAGCATCCCAATAATTTTCTATTCAATAAAAATTTCACAAATTTTAAAACTCCTATGAAAAATTTCTACAAAATATTCAAAATATGCATAATCGTAATCTCTACAACATAGAAAAAGTTACGCGGTGAAAGTTTTATCGGTGTAAAGTTATCACCTTGTTTCACTAACTGAAACAAAATTTTAATCAAAATATTCACCAAGAATTTCACATTTTTAAAAATTAAGATGGGCATAATGTGCCTTACCTTGAGATGAACAACTTTCTCAACTGCGTCGACCGACAAAAATGGCCCGAAGTCGCCCAAAATTTCAATTCCATCCTCTCTAACTTCTCTTTCTCTCAAGTTTTCCTTAGCCGATTCTCTGTTTAGATATTTTTGAGAAACGAAATAGTTAAATGACATTAATAAAAAATAATGGCTTTAGATTTTTTTTATATAATTAAATAATATTTTAATTATATTTTAATAGAAAATTCAAAGAAATTCTTTTATGGATTCCCAAAATTACGAAAAATAATTATAAATTAACTTATTTTATTTAGAACATTATGGAGAAATCAGTTTGCAAAATAAACACCTGACGGTCCCCAAATTCTCACTTGTACCGAGAGGTGCCCTTTTCTTAAAAAATGTTGGCAGTGAAAAAAATTTATGAAAACATTAGGGAAGCTAAAAAATGATATTATAAATGTTCTAGCAAAGACGATTTGTGATTTAGACTTCTATAGGTCAACAAAAAAAATCTTGAAAATTGAAATAATTTCACAATACCATAGTAGGTGGGTGACTAAGGTCGAGAGAATAGTAGTTTGTAGATGACATAGGTAAAAAAGCCCTTAGTCAGATGATGCTGGTTTGAAGGACAAGAGTCGGACAAAATTGGTCAAAAGGATCGTAGTCGGGCAATGGTTGTCAAAGAGACCATAGTTAGCAAGTGAAGATATTTGAGAGGTGATACGACGCTGATAGCCTCCAAGAAGAGTTTTGAAAAGAAAATCTAAGAATTGATGAACGTTCGATAATTACTAGTGGTTGGGAAGAGATCTAGTGGTGGCTGATGAATGGGTGAAAGTCCAACGACAGTTGATGAACAAGTAATAGTCTGTCAATGATTTAAAAGAACATTTGTGGTGTTCAGGAAGAAATTTGGCAGCACTTGGGAAAAACACAAATGGTGGTGGTCGACAAAAGGGCGGAAGTCTGGCGGTGGTCGGGTAGAACTTCGGCTGTGGTCTGTGAACGGGTAAAATTCTAGTGGTGGTCGACGAACAGGTGGAAGTTCAGCGGTGGTTGTGAAGAACTCTGGCTCACGATGGTCGATGAACGGGTGGAAGTTAAGCAGTGGTCAACGAATAGGTGGAAGTCTTGTTGTGGTCGACAAAGGAAACAGAAGACGATGGTCGGGAAGAACTCTGGCGATGGTCGGTGGCGAGAGTGCTCCCCAAAATTTCTCCTTCTTTTCTCCCAATTTCATGTGAAGAAATGGGGCCTATTCATAGTTTTTTTTAGAGTGTCATGCCACATAAATATAGAGAAGATCGAGGGGATGTTGGGAATAGTTTGAATGGATGGCAGATATTAATCATCTTGATTGTGGATTGTTCATTGGTCATTTAAATACCTTAATGATACCATAATTTGGTGATCTTGGTATTGTTAGGTTCATCTTGTCGAGCCACTAGATTTAGCTATAAGCTTGGGATGTTTAGAATTCATTTGGTAATCTAAATTATGCTTTGAACACTTCAAATACGCATTGGACCTTGATTTGGGCTCGTTTGAGCTCAAATTTGATTGATTTGGGTGTCGTTTGGTTTGTCTTTTCGAGACGTTCAGTTCGATTATAAGTTTGCATAATTAGAGTTTGGATGGTCCCAAATTTAATTTTGGAAGCTTTCAACTTAATTTTGATTTGAGATTCATGCCCAATCAAGATTAATTTTTATTATATATCAATTTAATTATTCAAATCATATTTATCTAGGTAATTCTAAATTAAATGCATAATAAAAATATATTTATACAAAATTGAATATAAGTAAACATAAAAACTAAATTTAACTACCCCATCATGTAAATACAAAAATGATAGCCTTTTTTTTCAAATTAAACAACCTTCAAAGCAATACATTTAGCCTGTAAGGAATTATAAAACTAATAATCACTTAAATGGTCTAGATCATTTATCAATTTGTTCTCTAAATAATTCATGTTGTTCTTTTTTGAGTAGTGATTATTATGCTTTGTTTTATAGTAAACAAGTAGTTAATTGAACTCTTAATTTCTTATGTCGGATCTTATGCATTTCAAATTCCAATTAACATTAACTCTGAAAGAACTTATGGTTTGAGAAAAGCTAAATAGAACTACTGTAGCATTAATTGAAAATCTTTCCCTTACAGTTTACATTGCTTGTAATATATAGAGAACAGAGGAGATAGCCCCTTACACATGATAGAACCTTTTCTGATAAGTAATAATGTAAGGAGATTGATTTGTGCTTCCTGTACTTCTATTGAGTAATGAATGATGGATAGGTACAGATATAATTTGTTGTCCTTTTTACCAAATGTGTATAGCTTATCACTGCCCCCTAAACTAAGTATCCTGGGATTGGATAGTTAGTTTGGAGTGAATTTCATTGAATTGTTTTGGAGGGAGAGCCTTGGTAAAGATGTCCAACGGTTGATCTTGAGAAGAAATATGGTGAACAGTGATCTCCTTGGCATGGATCCTGTCACGGATGAAGTGGTAGTCTATTTCAATTTGTTTGGTGCGAGCATGAAAAACTGGATTATTAGCTAAGGCCATAACATAAATGTTATCACAATGTAGAGGTGTGGCAAGCGGCTGAGTGCTGGCAAAATCTGCTAGTAGACGCCTTAGCCACACTATGTCGGCTTTTGCCGCTGCTAGAGCCCGGTACTCCGCTTCCGTAGATTATTTAGCAACTATTGGTTGTTTCTTGACACTCCAGGAGATGAGGGTGTTTCCAAGATAGGAACAGTATCCAGTGGTGGACTTACGGTCTGATGAATCTGACGCCCAATCAACATCAGAGTAGGAGCGGAGAATGAGATCTCCATGAGGAATCGGTAGTCCATAGGCTGTTGTTCCTTTGATATAGCGTAGGAGACGTTTAAGTTTTTGGAAGTGAATGTTGAGAGGTTGATGCATGGATTGACAGAGAAAATTTGTGGTAAAAGCTATGTCTGGGCATGTAATGGTGAGGTATTGGAGCGACCCTATTATCTTGCAATATAAGAGTGGATCAGTGAAGGGTATATGGCTGTCTGTAGTGGATTTGAAGTGAACGGAGAATGGGGTAGGCGCTGGTTTGTAGTTGTCCATTCCAGCTAGGCATAGAATGGAGTTAGTGTATGTGGATTGTTGAAGGAAATAGGAGTTGGGCTATTGAGTGACTTGAATGCCTAGAAATAGGGCTATATGACCCAGATCTTTGAGTTTGAAATGTTGTTCGAGATTTGAAAGAATAAGTTTGATGTGTTTATTGTTATTTTCGGTGATGAGAATATCATCGATATAAAGAAGAAGATATGTTTGGGTGGTGGGTGTTTGGTGGATGAAGAGGGAAGGATCCGATTTGCTTATTGTGAAATCATATTTTAGAAGGAACGAGGAAAATGTTTGAAACCATTGACGTGGTGCTTGACAAAGGTCGTAGATTGGTTTGTGGAGTTTGCATACGTGATTGAGTGAAGAGGATCAATGAAGCTAGGGGTTGTTTCATGTATGCTGTTTCTTGAAGGGGTCCATGTAGGAAAGCATTAGAGATATTGCATTGTATAATGGACTAATTGTGGTGAAGAGCGATGGTGAGAAGGGGTCTAATGGTGGGCATTTTGGCTACTAGACTAAAGGTTTCATGAAAGTGGATGCCAAATTGGTGGGTGTATCCTTGGGCTACTAGTCTAGCCTTGTAACGATCGATGGTGCCAATGGGTGTGAGTTTGAGATGATAGGTCCATTTGCATCCTATAATGGGTTGTTTGGGTGGAGGTGGAATGAGAATCCATGTCTCTTGATTTTGTATTGCATAGAATTCAACAGACATGGCTGCCCGCCAATTGGAGTCTTTGTTAGCTTGATTAAAGGTGGTAGGAGTGGATGGTGTTGTGTGAGCTGTAGAGAGTGTGAAGATTTGTTTTGGTTTTAGGTGTCCCGACTTGAATCTGGTAAGCATGGGATGAGGAGGGGCCTTAGGAGGAGAGGGGTTAGTTGTTCATGTGGATAGCTAGTTTGAGAATTCTTGGGAATCGATGGAGAGACTTGGATTTCTGGAGTGGGAGATGAGATGTAGGTGGGTGGTGGGGAGTTGGCTGAAGGTTCTTGTGAGATATTTGGTAAGGGGATTGAGGTTGGTGTAAGTAGTAGATGGGAAGTTGATGTGGTGGTGCTGGTGGATGGGAGTTTGGGTGGAGTGAGAGAGTAGGGAAATTGATCCTCATGGAAGTTTACATGGCGAGACAGAATAATTTTGTTGGTAGATGGATTGTAGAAACGGTAAGCATTTGTGGAGTTGGAGTAACCGAGAAATATGCATGGAGTGGAGCGAGGAGAGAATTTTTTGGAGGTTAGAGGTTTGAGCCAGGGGAAGTAGAGGCAACCGAAGACCTTAAGCTGATTGTATGCAGGTTGTTTGTTGGTTAAGAGTTTGTAAGGGGATTTGAGGGAGGTATTTTTGGAGGGTAGGATGGCATCGGTCCAAAATGTTAGAAGACTGGCTTCATGCAAAAGAGCTCGTGTTATCTCAAGAACATGTCTGTGTTTGCGCTCGGAGACCCCATTTTGTTCTGGGGTGTATGGGCATGTGAGTTGGTGGATGACACCTTTTGAGGCTAGAAATGCTTTGAACTGAGCCGAAGTATACTCACCCCCATTTTCGGATCTGAAGTATTGAACGATGGTGTTATATTGATTTTCAATCATTGTGAGGAAATGAATAAATTTCTGGTAGGTTTCAGATTTGTTATTCATTAGATAGAGCAACGAAAATTTTGAATAATCATCAATGAAGATGACATAATAGTTGAAGCCATTGTGAGATAGGATTGGAGAAGGTCCCCAAATTATGTATTAGAGATAAAGGTTTAGATACAGTCTTTATTTGCGATTTCAAAGGCAACATATGGCTTTTGGCCACATTACAAGACACGCAACAGAATTTAGTAGAAGAAGTAGGTAAACTAAGAGACCGCATGACTGCAGTTGTTACAAAATTGTGCGAGTGTCCTAAACGAGAATGCCACAACTTGCTGAAGGTGAGTTGAGCTGTGAGAGCGGTGGGCACTGAAGAATTGCTGGAATTGGTGAATGGGTAGAGGCCATGCGAGCTTGGTCCTTGGAGGAGAACTTAACGAGTTTTCAGGTCCTTAATGTGATAGCCATGAGGATCAAAGTGCATGGAGCATTGGTTATCAGTTGTGAGTTTATGAATAGATAGCAAATTATGGGAAATAGAGGGGACATAAAGAATTTGTTTGAGGTGGAGCTTACGGTGAGAGGTGGGCGTCGGTAGGAGTCCGTCTCCTGTGCTGTATATCGGAAGGGATGAGCCGTCTCCAATGGATATCACGTTTGAGCCTGAGTAAGGTTTGGGTTGTTAGAGATTTCTTGCGTCCACTGTAATGTGTGCAGTTGCTCCCGAATCCAGATACCAATATGGAGATGCTGGGGATGTGGAAGAGTACAGCTCTCTTTCAGGTGTTGCTGTCTGAGGAGTATAATTTAGATCTGTCTGATGCCAGCAATGCAGAGCTGTATGTCAAGATTTGCCGCAGATTGGCAACTCACATGTTGGTATCCTTGTGATCGTCCGCGTCCGTGAGTTGCAGTGAATGGGGGACGAGTTGACTGTGATGCTTCTCCGGTGCTGCGAGCACGTCCGCGTGATGAGGAGCCACGACCTCTGGTTGCCGTAAAAGCCACTGACTGTGAGGCTTATGGCGAGAGCTTAATATGTTCGGTTATCAAATTAATTTCTTTGCTGCAGTGCAGTGAGTATAACTCATCTAGATTGATGGGATCAGATCTAGTTCTTATTGCAGTTTTGAAGGAATGATATGCAGCTGGTAGACCGTTCAGTATGTAGAAGATGATATCTTCTTGATCAATGGTTGAACCTGCTGTTGAAATGTTATCCACTATTGTTTTGATGTGATTCAATGACTAAGACATGGATGAATCCTTCATTGAGACATTGTAAAGCTCATTTTTGAGCTGAATCACTCTACTTCTGTTAGAAGGCTGAAGACGTTTCTCCAAGGTAAGCCAAATCTCGTGACAAGTGGAGAGGTTGAGGATGTAAGGAAGTATAGGAGCGGAGATAGTGGAGCACAAAGAAGAGGCAAGGTTTTGATCTAGAAATGTTCAAGAGGCATAGTGAGGTTTCTGTATGATGCCGGATGAGGTGGATGGTATGTATTCCGATGGACATTTGTTGGAGCCAGTGAGGTACCCTTCAAAACGATTTGCAAAAAAGATTTTGATGGCCTGTAGTAATAGGGTAGTTGTCTGAGCTGAGGTGAACATGGACAATGTTCTTGAGATTTGAGGTAAGAAACTTCAGTGCTGGGGGAATGGCGGTCTCAGTAGTTGGCACTAGCTGTTGAGAGGAGGCGGCTGGAGCGTTGTCTGAGGTGCTCCCAGAGTCCGCCATAAAGCTTTGACGAAAAGAGGAAAGGGCACTAGGATCATCCGTGAGGCTTCAAAATTGCTCTGATACCATGAAAGAACTCATGGTTTGAGAAAAGCTAAACAGAACTGCTGTAGCATTAATTGAAAAGCTTGCCCTCATAGTTTACATTGCTTGTAATATATAGAGAAAAGAGGAGACAACCCCTTACAAAGGAAAGAACCTTTTTAGATAAGTAATAATGGAAGGAGATGATTTGTGCTTCGTGTGCTTCAATTGAGCAGTGGATGATGGATAGGTATAGATATAATTTGCTGGCCTTTTTACCAAATGTGTATAGCTTATCAAACTCTGGTACCATATATTTATGGATTATAATTAATACAGTTACAAATCATAAAATTAGATGTTTATAAAATCAGAAAAAATTATATGCGCGATCAATCATTTATTAAAACAAGGAATGTTTAAGAAATGCAATTTTGATTCTAGACATATTTAAAATTTTCCGAATCAAACAAAAGAAATAATTTTTTATTCTAAGCATACTTATGTAATTGAATCATAGAAATAAGTATTGAGTATTAAATATCATTATTGGCGTAGCTGAAACCCGACGCTCTTGCGATTTAGGGTTTCCGCTCTTCCTCCTTCATCTCCATCCGTTTCGGCTTGTTTTTCTCCCAGTTTTTCCGGTGTTTCTTTGTGTTTTAGTCTAGCTCTGTTCGTTCTTTGTTCTTTGCCCCGCGAGGGCTTGTTCGTTGATGGCTGCTTCGCAGCCCCCAAACCTTTGGGGCGCTGTGGCTGGTTCTGAGCCGATCAAAAACAAAGGCTTTTTCAATCTTGAAGCAGGTGATGGTTCGCCCTCTAGATCGCGATCTTTTAAGGGCGTTCTCTCAAGTGGCGCATCTTTAGGTGATGTCCTCCCAAACTTGTCCCAAACGGTTTTTAATGGGGTTCCTGCCATTCTTTTGACTGATGATGAAGTGCTCAAGCTGGCATCTCCCTTCCATTTCACCTTGGTCGGTAAATTTGGTCTTAACAGACCAAATCTTGACTCTATTCGTAATTTTTTTACTAACCTTAAACTCTCGGGTTTCTTCTTTATTGGTCTTTTAGATTCAAGGCATGTAGCGATACAACTTTCTAACAATCTTGACTATAGTATAATCTTTGCTAGAAGATCGTATTTCATCTTTAACTGCCAAATGCGCATTTTAAAATGGACGCCTTTTTTTGATATAAAAGAAGAATCGCCCATAGTTCCAATATGGATTTCCTTTCCTAATCTTAGGCTTCATTTTTTTAACCAGAAAGTTTTACATGCCTTGGGTTCTATTTTCGGTAGACCTCTCCAAACCGATAAAGCTACAGCTTCACGCACAAGACCTTCTGTGGCTAGAATTTTAGTTGAAGTGGACATAACCAAAAAGCACTCGAAGGAAATATGGGTGGGATCGAAAGCCTATGGTTATATGCAAAAGATTGAATTCGAGAAAGTCCCTGACTTTTGTTCTCATTGCAAGATCCATGGACACGCTCCTTCGGATTGCTTTAAACTACTCCCGGAACTTAAAAAAACTCCTGCTCAGATGGATGGTAAGCTTTGATCCACCGAGAAAATATATGTGCCAACTGGGAAAGTTATCCAATCCACTCAGGTGGAACTGCCTTCATCATCTGATAAGTTGAATGT